GGGAACAAGGGACAGAACGAAAGGAAACAGCAGTTTAAGCTGGATAAGGGGAACATTTCTTCATGGAAAGGGTGGTCAGGCATTGGAACAGGCTGCCCAGGGCAGTGGTGGAGTCACCATCCCTGGAGTTGTTTAATGAATGTGTGGGTGTGGCACTTGGGGACGTGTTTTAGTGGTGAACATGACAGTGCTGGGTTGGTGGTTGCATTCAGTGATCTTGGAGGTCTTTTCCAACCCTGGTGAATCAATGATTCCATGTTGTTAATGGCCAACAGCACATCGCTGTGGTGGGAACGGTGTCAGGCACAAGTGCAAGACAGGACAGGTCCCACCAAATGTGGAGTCCTGGCTCCTCAATGCCCCTCCACATTTGAGAGATACTGGGATTGCAGCCCTTAACTGAAAGCAAAGCAGAGGGTCAGGGCAAGACAGCTCTGACCACCTCAAAGGGAATATCCAACTGCAGAGTATGGAAATAGCTGAGGAGCATGGAAATGCAGAGGGAGTGCAAAAGGTGCCCTACCCAACAGGTTGTGCACAATCAGACACCTCCAAAGGGTGTGTCCTCCCACACCATAACTGGTGTGGATCCTCTTGCAGGGCAACATCCTTCTGCTGTTTGTCCCCACAGAGCCTTGGAAGTGGACGTGTCTCAGAGAGGATGATACACCTGCCTCCCCCCTCTCTGGCTGTCTCAGTGTTCTCACTCTGTGTGCTGCTCCTCAGCTTCAGTTTGGAGTAGAGAGGCCATCACTGAAAGCCCAGAAATCCTCGATTCACAAACTCAGTTCCCTGCCTTTTCTCAGACAATTCCACTTCCCTGATCAACACAAGGAATCATGGAAACCTTGCCTTACAGGGCCGCTGCTGCATTGGCTTCCTCCGGACTCTGCACCTCGTACAACCTTATATGTTCAAGTGTTTAACCTGGGCTGTAGCAACAGCAATAAAACGTTTGCAAATGCCTCCTGTCCTGCCTTGTCCTGCCCTGGGGGTGTTGTACTGTGGTAGATTTCCTGTGGAGGTGCCTCCTGACACACCTGACACAACTGAGCTTTCTGGGCTCCGGGACGTGGTTTTGTGATTGCAAAATATTTGAGTGGTCTAACTCTGGTCTTTTTGAGTGAGGGTTGAGGGCCAGTTTGGGGCTGTTCCTCTTGCTTTGAAACAAAATAATTGATTGTTTACCCTCAAAAGCCTCCAAGAAAAATTAGGATTTAAATCCCATGTCACTCATTGGCCAGGAGGAAACATCACACTGGACTCCCCCCTCCACCTGATGGAGAGGTTTTACTTTTCCATCAGAAATGCAGACACTGACAAATCTTCCCTGTTCTAATGAGTCACCTTCAAACATGTACATTTTGGGAGGTCTTGGGTCCTGGGGGGTGGCCAGTTGGCCCTGAGTCAGCAGTGCCCTGGCAGCCAGGAGGGCCAACCCTGTCCTGGGGGCATCAGGGAGGGGATTGTCCTGCTCTGCTCTGCCCTGGGGTGGCCTCACCTCAACATTGGGGCAGTTTGGGGGGACACAATGGAAGGGAGAGATTGAGCCATTAGAGAGTGTCCAAAGGAGGGACAGGGAGATGGGGAAGGGCCTTGATTTGAAGCCGTGTGAGGACACTGAGGGCACTTGGTGTGTTCAGCTGGAGAAGAGGAGACTGAGGGGAGACCTCACTGCAGTTCCAATTCCTGGGCAGGGGCAGAGGAGGGGCAGGGACTGAGCTCTGCTCTGGAGGGACCAGGGACAGCACGCAGGGAATGGCCTGGAGTTGGGTCAGGGGAGCTTTAGGTTGGATCTCAGGAGAAGGTTCTTCCCCCAGAGGGTGGTTGGCACTGCCCAGGCTCCCCAGGGCAGTGGGCACAGCCCCAAGGCTGCCAGAGCTCCAGGAGGGTTTGGATGATCCTCTGGGGCACAGGGTGGGACTCCTGGGGATGGGCCTGTGCAGGGCTGAGAGTTGGACTGGATGGTCCTTGTGGGTCCCTTCCCACTCAGCACATTCTGTGCTGTGATTCTGTGACTATAACTAGAGGTGGTGGGATCTGATCTGGGTTTGGCAGATGAAGAGAAGGCTGAAGGATCAACTTACCAGCAGCTACATCTGCTTGGAGGACAATTACAAAGAGGACAGAGAAGAACTAAGTGGTACCAGACAGTCCAACAAGGGGCAACAGCCACAAATTGCAAGTTGGGAGGTTCAAGGTGGCTTTTAGGAAAAGCCCCCTCCCCAGATGTCTCTGCAGCCCTTGGACAGGTCATGAAAGACAGATATTTCCATCCTTTGAGGTTTTTTGTCCAATATTTGGACAGGCAAAGGCTCAGCCATTGCAATCTAGTGTAGGGAACACTTCCCTGCTTTGAGCAGGACATCCTCCACAGAAATTCCTTTCATCCCTGTGGCCAGGTTGGATCAGACCAGCTTAGAACAGAAAGAAACAGTAGGACCATTTCTAAAACATTGGGACGTGAACCTTCATGACAACTGTAGATGTGGTACAGGTGGAAAAGGACTCTGATACTCTGCTCAGCTCTTCCACACATCTGGATTTTTGGCTTTGGAGGATTTATTCACAATACATAAGTATTTTTTTTCTGTGGAAAGGAGAGTCATGGGGCACATCTGACTAATGCTGCTCATCTCACACTGGTATGAAAAATTACTGGTCAATCCCCACTTTTGGCAATGCCCAAGACACTCTCCCAAAAAAACCTCCCTGGAATCAGAACAAACACTGCCCATGTGTTTCCCCTGCTGCAAGCCAAGTTCAGCCTCTTTACACCAAAGGAAAAATAACCAGACATATCTGGTGTGAATGGTTGGAGTCCTTCCAGCTTTCTTGGCTGAAGATCCAGCTCCATGTTCTAGGCAGTGCTGGGAGATCTCACTGTTCCCGTGTCTTTGCTCTGGGAATGAAGGTCACAGGAGCAGCAGAAGGAAGAGCTTTGTCCAGACTCTGCCAGGAAAAACTGCCTCTCCCCAAACAGAGAGGTTTGGGCTTTCTCAGGTACCTGTTGCCCAAACGTTTTCTCTTGGGAGTTCACAGGATGTGGTGAAATGCCACAGGAATTCCATGGGAAAGGAACCGCCCCGGGCTCTTGGCAGAAGCATCAGTTTTATGAGATTAATTTTATACAAAAGAGTTTCATAATAAACAATTTGTTTTGATTGTATCTAAGGCAATTTTACAACCTCTTCACTATTTGCCCAGAGAAACTGTGGCTGCCCCATCCCTGGAAGTGTCCAAGGCCAGGTTGGACGGGGCTTGGAGCAACCTGGGATAGGGGAAGGTGTCCCTGCCCATGGCAGGGAGTGGAATGAGGTGAGCTTTAAGGTCCCTTCCAACCCAAACCAGTCTGGGATTTTATGATATGATTCTATTTTTTTCCTATTATACAGTATAAATTTTGACATTTCTGGCAAAGGCGGGTATTGCCCTAAAACCACTCAATTGAAAAATGAGCAGGAAAAATACAGGATTCTCGAGTACCAGAGGGGGTTTGTTATCACTCCCTGTGCCCAAAATAGTGGCAAAGCCATTACTGCAGCTCAGATTTCTGTCACCATAAATAAACCCAGGGGTACTGGGGGTTTATCACCCCACTTCTGGACATCTTGCTTTGGGACCTCTGTCCGTGGTCACAGCAGCTCCAACAACTTCCTCTGGAAGTTTTCTTTCATCCTGATCTTTGTTTTGCAGTTTTGACTCCTGTCTTTCTGAAGATTTATAACAGTTCCACACCCAGAAGGGATTCCCAAGCCCTTTTATTCCCAAACCCCAAGGCTTTTTTGTTTTTTGACCTGACAAACCTTAAAAAATTCACTTTTTCATCCACTCTGGAGGTGTCCATGGGCAGGGACACCTTCTACCAGACCAGATGGCTCCAATCCCTGTCCAACCTGGCCTTGGACACTTCCAAGGATGGGGCAGCCACAACTCTGGTCCTCAGAGACACCATTTGGATGGTGGAACCTCAAACAAATTACAGGAGCCAAATTTATCCTGAGGAGTCCTTTGATTATCTCTCTGCCAAGGCTTAATTTTTATGTTTTGCACGTGGGAAAAAACCCACCCCAGAAATGGTTTACAGGGCTGTCTTTCCCATTGATATATTACAGCAAAAAATCTTGTGCCATCTGTGCTGAGTTTTTTGTATCAGAATGATGCAGAGTTTTTAATATCAGAAAAGAGCAGGTACTGAGGCAATGAAGCCAAACCTTCTAAAATGGGAAATTTCAATTGCATTGCATAAAGATGTAGTTTTCTTCTTTTATTTAGGCTGTATTTTGCTAATGCTTTTTTTTATTTGAACAACTGGGAAGCATTTTCTGATGAATCACTGATCCTTCTTTTGTATTTGGAAGCTGAGAACAACAACTTTTTTTTTCTTTCCTGCACTGTGAGATACTGTAGTAAATATATTTTTTTAGTATTTTGCTTGTAGATGTAAATGCATATAAAAAACTGTAAATTCATGTAAGTATATGCAAATACAGTCTCTTGAAGACAAAGAGACTGCCTATTCAGGTGTTGGGGTGGTTTGGATGAAGCTGATGAAAACATCTCTTTGCTGTTTTTTACACCATTCACCACAGAGATAAGGAAACAACAGGTTATGGCTGGAATTCCCATTCTGCCTCATCTTTTTATACTTATATATATATATTTAAGAATTAATAAAAATGAAATAATAATATATAATAATATATAATAAATAAATACAAATAACAAATAATTAATTGAAATGGAAATTAATTTAAATTAAGGTTTTTTATTTAAAATTTTGTTATCAAAGGTTTTTTGAAATTTCCTTAAACTTCTCAACATTTTTAGCAGAGGTTGATCCAGGCATTTCTGCCAGTCAGGTTCTAGGATAAATATCTCCAAAACCCACATTCAATTGCACCTGGGTCATGCAAACTGCAGCTTGAAAACACCAAAGTTCTCTTTTTTTCTATTAGTTTTGGGAGTTGCTGTGATCTGTGACAGGGTTTGTGGAGGGAACTTCATGACTTATTCACCTTCACACGCCTTGTCAAGGAATTTCAACTCCCGGGATTTAGGATTTGTGGGAGGGGGATGTTATCCACAAGCCTCTCTTTCTCTGAGGATTATATCCACAGCAGAATATCCGTGGGCCCAGATTTCTCTGGGAATGGGCAGAGCAGCAGCAGCTTCCCCGCAGGGTGACAGGAGGTGACAGAAATCACTGTGAGGAGCTGTTTTGGGAGCACTGACCCCTTTAATCCCAGCACTGCTGCAGGTTGGGGATTTTACAACCCCAGGAAAAGCCCTGAGCTCCTCCTGTACCACAGGATCCAGCAAAGGACAAGGAAATGGGAATCCAGGTTTCTGGGAAGTATCATCAACGTTAGTCATAATTTTGAGGGCAGAAAAAGTGGTCCTCAGAGTACAAGGTGCTTTTTTTTTTCTGCCGTGAAGGAAGGTCTGGAAATCCATCCTGATTCTTGGTTTTGTTTGGGTACATTCTCCAAATATTCATGCAGTTAATTCCTGGGAAGCCTATGGAGCTGTATCAGCTTTGTGGATCTGTCAGAGGGCAGGATTAGATGGGATACTGGGAAGGAATTCCTGCCTGTGAGGGTGGGGAGGCCCTGGCACAGGTTGCCCAGAGAAGCTGTGGCTGCCCCTGAATCCCTGGAAGTGT